TTAAAAACTACAAGTGTTTCATATCAAATTGGTATCAGAGCAAGTCGTGGGACCGGTGGAGGGCTGATTTCGGCAAATTTCAGCATTGATTAATTGCCCGGAAGGAAGGGGAATTGCTGTTTTTGAAGTTCCAAATCCAGAATTTGTGATTTTACAAACTCAGGATTGTGATGGTGGCCAAAAAGGTGGATGATCTAGACGAAAGACTTGAAGAGAAGATGAATCAAATTAAAACGATGGTGGAGGAAAGGATTTCCTCCATGGAAGGGCAAGTTGCAGATCTACGAGACATGATGAAAAAGATATTAGAAATCCAGAACCAAACGTCAGCTTCTATGGCAAAAAGAATGGAGGGAAAAAGTACAAATTCTGAAATTCGTAGGGAGGAAAATGAGGTGGAGATCGTGGAAGGAGAAGGAAGAAGACCCCATCTGGAGCCTGTCCAGATGGAAGAAAGAGGAGGATATGAGGAACGCCAGGAGAGATACTATGGTTGTCGAGGTGCTGATTTTGAAGACATAAGGGGGGATTTCGAAGGGGGTTTGGGCTATGGTAGAGCAAGGGAAGACCGGGAAACATGGGGTGCACCTAGCACTTGGGAGAGGGGAAACTATGGAATAATCCGGGGTAATGGGGGCGACCAAAGGATGAGGAAGTTGAAGATGCCCATATTCGAAGGAGAAGATGCGTATGGGTGGATTTACAAGGTGGAGCGATACTTCGCCGTCAATGGACTGACGAAGGAGGAGAAGCTGACCGCAGTCGGATTGTGCTTGGAAGCAAAATCCTTGTCGTGGTATCAGTGGAGAGATCAGATGAGGCCTATAAAAAATTGGAGAAAATTCAAAAACTGCATAATAGAACGTTTTCAAACCGACCGGGGAGGAGATTTCTATGAGCAGTTCTTTGCTATGGTGCAGGAGGGATCAGTAGCAGACTACCATGAGCGGTTCGAGCACCTGGCTAGTAGGGTGGAGCGATTATCAGATATCGTATTGGAGGGGAACTTCATGAAGGGGTTGAAGGCAGAGATCCAAGCGGTAGTGAAAGTTCTGATGCCTAGTGACTTGGAGGAGGTAATGAAGTTGGCACAACAAGTAGAAAAATAGAATAATCTGGAGAAGGGAGCCAGGAGCAGCAGCTCAGGAGGCTCTTACAAGACTACGACCACTCTTTTAGCACCCAAGGGGCCTGCATCAGTCAACATTAATAAGACCACCAGGGAGAAGCAAGTAGGAGGGAGTGGGGATAACTTCAAGAAGCTCACTGAGACAGAATTGTAGGAGAAGAGGGCAAAAGGGCTTTGTTTCAGATGTGACGAGAGGTATATGCTGTGGCACAGGTGTAAGGACCGAACTCTTCAAGTTCTTACTGTTTGTGATGAAGAAGGAATTGAGGGTGTCGTCTTTCCACCTTGCGGACAAGGTGGATCTTCCAGCGCGAACTGGGCGGAGAAATCTCTGCCCGCTGGGATGCCGAGCGAGCCGCACACCGTGCGGGAGCTTTTTAGGAAGCTTTTTGAGGGTTTGAGAGGGAAATTTGAATGTAGGGACTGTTT